TTGGGGGGGTGAACGGATGAATGGGCACTTAGGATATTTGGGTTTTATTATATAGGGTTTGGGCATATCTTTTCCTTGGGACAGATTCCTAGGAGTAAAATTTTTGAATCAGAACAGCGAGAGATTTAAGAGGATGGGCTTTCAGTAATACCTTCCTTTCTACCTATTATAGAAGACTCTTATGGACTCTTTTTCCTTTTTAAAAAAATTCTTATTTAATTTTATTGGGGTCATTGGCTAATATAATTATATTGGTTTCAGGTGTGCATTTCTATAATATATTATCTATATATTGTATTGTGTTTTCACTACCTCAGGTCAAGTCTCCTTCCGTCACCATTTATTCACTTTATTGTCTTCTACCTCCCCTACCCCCCTTTCCCTGTGATAATCACCATACTGTTGTCTCTATCTGTGAGTTGTTGTTGTTCTTGTTTGTTTGCTTAGTCCCTTCACTTTTTTCACCCAGCCCCCAAACCCCCTTCCCCTCTAACAGTTGTCAGTCTGTTCTCTATCTATGAGTCTGTTTCTGTTTCGTTTGCTAGCTTATTTTATTCTTTAGATTCCACATATGAGTGAAATCATATGGTGCTTATCTTTCTCTGACTGGCTTATTTTACTTAGCATGGATTCTTGATTAAATGTGCACTAATTACTGAGCTGTCCTAACGGGTAATTGGATGTTTATCCAACAGATAGGGACACGGGAATGGGATGGTTTGATACTGTGGAACTAATGCCTTCCTTTGGTGTATAATTGTTGAGTAGTTTAAATACTTACATACTCAAGAACCTGTAACTACTTGAGGATTTTGTATATGTACTCAGATAATTACAATGCAAGGAAGATTGTCACCCATAACTTGGCTAAGTAAGTATCTTCTCATGGAAAAAGCAAAAATGTAGCTGAATGGCAGTCAAGGAAGGCAAGCTTTATTGGGGTAGTGACATCTGCACTGAATATTCAAGAGTATTTTTTCTGCCCTAGTTTGTTTGGCTCAGTGGATAGAGCGTTGGCCTGCGGACTGAAGGGTCCCGGGTTCAATTCCAGCCAAGAGCACATGCTTGGGTATCAGGCTCCATCCCCAGTAGGCTGCATGCAGAAGGTAGACAATTAATGATTCTCTCTCATCATTGATGTTTCTATCTCTCTCTCCCTCTCCCTTCTTCTCTAAAATCAATAAAAATAATGTATTAAAAAAAAAAAGAGTAGCCTGTCCCTCAGTAGCCAGGTGCGTAGGGGAGGGATGGCCAAGTACATGAAGAGGCCTGAGCAAAGGCTGTAGGCAGGCACTCAGGTGGTAAAGGACCAGGGAGTGTTCTGGCAAGGGTGGAGCAAAAGGTAAGAAGCGGGGGTGGAAGAGAGGATAGAAAAGATGGTTTGCAGCACCTTAATTGTCAAGCAAAAGAGTTTAGATTTTATTTCATAGTCAGTTGTGCCTTTGAACAGAAGAATGATGTGCTCAAAGTGGAGGTGACTGGAGAGGGTGTGTAGATGGTTGATGTGAGGAAAAGGTCATAGATGAGAATGTTAGTTGAAAGATTTATTTTTGTAAAAGTTTAGTCTTAAGATACAGAACATTAGTGGGGACAGATGAGTAAGGAATAAGTGTAAAGAATTGAAAAGGAGGAGCTAATCAAATTTGATAACTAGCTGAATGTGAGGACCTAGAAGTTGAATTCAGAAGCATACCAGGATTCTCAGAGAGGGGACAGCAACCACAAAGCACAGGAGAAAAGTGGGAGTAGCTGACCACCTCCTGGGGCAGGAAGAGAATATAACTTGTACTTAGGTTGTTTCAGGTGAGAGCGGGATCCTTAGAAATAATGAGATTACATCCATCTGAAAGCTGTCCCAGTAAACTTCAAATCCAGATGCTTTTAAGTTAAACTTCATTGCCTGTGATAGTCATTGGTTGAGGCTTGCTTTAAACAAACTTACTAGGAGAAGCTATTCGAATTGTAATATGTTCCCTGTTGGGTGGTCGTTCTCCATCCTCCTGAGCTTCTTTTCTGAACACTTGACTTTGTTCCTATTCACCCTCCTCTTCATTAAAAAACATTAAGCAATAATCTTTAAAGGTCTGTAGTCATCCATTTTTAGTGAGCCAGGACAGCTTTTTTTATTTTTAAATGAAGCAATAGATGTGCTTGTAGCAAAAAAGAAAACAAAACACTAAACATGTCCTCTTTATTTTTTTTAAGGGAATTGGCTCGGGAGAAGGTAATGCGAGAAGTTAAAGCCTTAGCCAAGCTGGAACACCCAGGCATTGTCAGGTATTTCAATGCTTGGTTGGAAGCACCACCAGAGAAATGGCAAGAAAAAATGGATGAAATTTGGCTGAAAGATGAAAGGTAACATTGTTAGACATAGATTCAAAAACTAGTATATCCTTTCAGGTTAGTTTTTTGTTTATGCAAACAAGATATTTCTATAACTTACAGATGATTTCCTAAAAAATAACAGCAGATTACTGTTCTCATCATGTTTTGGAACGTTCTCTCGTCACTGAGTCCTGGGTCCTCTTAGCAACAGCTGCGCCCTCCCCAAGCTGTTTCCAGTAAGGAAACAGCATTTAGGTATGGGAAGTGCTGGCATCACAGGAAACTGTCATCGCATCACTGGAAATGGGAGGCCAGTGTCAAATAGGGACAAATCAATTCTTGGAATCAGAACAACCTCTCCCTCTGCAGATCCTGTTAATACTTCAGCTTCGATAATGTTAGGTCGTAATCTTTTGATAATAAATCTAGTACCATTACAAAGACCTCATTTACTATTGAGATTTCTCAATAGCATGATGATTGCACCCACTTTCAATTTTAATTTATGACATGGCATTCCCCAAGGAGTAATACTATTTAAGAAATTCGATGGGAAAATTTTCCTTTTCAGCATCATCTGTGGAATCAATGGAATCATCACTCAAATATGTGTGAAAATCTCCATCGAGTATATCCAAAATTTCTTCATTTACTTTTTGAACGTGCTCATTTTTTGGACAAAGAATTGCATGTTTAGATATATTTTTAATATTATCTATAGATATAGTATTTCCAAAGGTAGCTTCAATAATAGATCCATTATAAATCATTTCACAGGGGATTTCAATAATATCCATTCCTAAATGAAAACTGCTATCAAGTTTGCCATCTCCAAGTTTACTAACCATCCACTATAAGCAGAATCCTCTGATCTCATATTTGTTGTAAAAGACAACTTTCTGAAACATTGCAGTACTTTAAACTCATTTGTACTATGGCTGATTGCATAGCATGTGGTACAATACTGAGACATTGTCGAAAATCCCCTCCAAGAAGAACTTTCCCACCAAATACAATATTCAAATTCATAATTTCTCTTAGTAATCTGTCTATGGCGTTTATAGCATGACTGGATGCCATGGTGCATTCATCAATAATGAGAAGTTGGGCCTTTTTAATAGTTTTAGCAACTTCACTGTTTATATCGAGTCTAGAAATTGAAGTTTCATTTAGTGGAATCGGTAATTTATATTGGGAATGAAAGGTGCTTCCACTGAGAAGTAAATTTGCAGCAAATCCTGTAGACGCTGTGGGTAAAACTACCACCACGACCTCTAATATAATATATTAAAACTTTATAAAGATATGCCTCCACGCTCCGAGGGCCGGTTCCTGCCTCAAACCTCGCCCTTACCGGGAACAGCTCGGGGAGAGCGCAGTCTTGGCAAAGCGACCCAGGACTCAGTGCAGCCACGCTCCGAGGGCTGGTTCCTGCCTCAAACCTTGCCCTTACCGGAAACAGCTTGGGGAGGGCGCAACTGTTGCTAAGAGGACCCAGGACTCAGTGGGTCCACACTCCGAGGGGCAGTTCCTGCCTCAAACCTCGCCCTCGCCAGAAACAGCTCCGGGAAACAGGTCGGGGAGGGCACAGCCGTTGCCAAGACAACCCCTTCAGGACTGACTTCCTTCCGGTTGGTCGAGCCTTGGTCGGTCGTGATGTTACACCCAGGGTTTTTATATAAATAGATTTGCTATTGTTTTGTTTAGGATTTTTGCATCTGTATTCATCAGAGATATTGGTCTATAATTTGTGTGTGTGGTATCCTTGCCAGATTTTGGAATCAGAGTAATATTTTTAGCTTCATAAAATGAGGTAGGAATTTTTGCCTCTTTTCCAAATTTTTGGAAGTGTATGAGGAGGATATGTAATAAATCTTCTTTGAATGTTTGGTGGAATTCACTAGTGAAGCCATCTAGTCATAGACTTTTATTTTCGGACAGTTTTTGATGACTGTTTTAATTCAGTCTGTTTAGAATTTCCAGTTCTTCATGATTCAGTCTAGGAAGTTTATATAGTCCCAAGAACTTGTCCATTTATTCTAGGTTATTGAATTTGATGACGTCCAGCCTTTCGTGGTATGCTTGTATAGTCGTTTGTATTTCTGTAGTGTCTGTTGTAACTTCTCTTTCATTTATGATTTTGTTTGTTTGAGACTTTTCTCTTTTGTCAGTGATTTTTGCATCTATAGTTAGAGGTTTGTCAATTTTATTAATTTTTTTAAAGAATCAGTTCTTGCATTATTTTTCTATTGTCTTTTGTTTTCTGTTTAATTCTGCTCTAATTTTTATTTCCTTACTTCTACTGGCTTTCAGCTTTGTTATTTTTCTATTCCTTTAAGGTGAAATGTTAGGTTGTTTATTTGACATTTTTCTTGTTTCTTGTGGTAGGCCTGTAATGCTATAAACTTTTATTACTGCTTTTGCTCCATCCCCCAAATTTTGATATTTCCTATTGTCATTCTCATTTGACTCTGTGTATCTTTTGAGCTCTCCTTTTATTTCTTCTTTTACCCAGTAGTTGTTTAGTATCATGTTGTTTAATGTCCACATGTTTGTGGTTTTCTCAGCTTCCTTTTAGCAGTTGATTTCCAGTTTCAAATTGTTATTGTCAGAGAATATGCTTGGTATAATTTCAATCTTCTTAAATTTGTTGAAATTAGTTTTGTGCACCAACATAATATGGTCGGTCTATCCTTGAGAATGTTCTCTGTTCACTAGAGAAGAATGTATAATCTGGTGTTCTGGGATGAAAAGCTCTGTAAATATTGATTATGTTCATTTGGTTTAATGTGTTATTTAAAGCTGTTTTGATTTTCTGTTTGGATGATCTATCCATTGTTCTCAGTGGGGTTTTAGTTCCCCTATTATAATTGTATTTTTGTCCGTTTCTCCCTTTAGTTCTGTTAGTAGTTGCTTTATATATTTTGGTGCCTCCAGGTTGAATGCATATTTATTAATAAACATTATGTCTTCTTGATGTATTGTCTCCTTCATCTTTATACAATGTCCATCTTTGTCTCTTGTTACCTTTTTTATCTTGAAATCTATTTTGTCTGACATAATTATGGCTCTACCTGCTTTCTTCTGGATGCCATTTGCTTGACTATCATCTTGCACCACTTCTCTTTGAATCTATGTTTGTCTTTGCAGTTGAAATGTGTCTCCTAAAAACAGCAAGCATATATAGTTGGGTGTTTTTAAAAAACAAAACAAAACAAACCATCCCACTACTCTGTGCCTTTTAATTGGTGAGTTCAGTCCATTTACATTTAGGGTGATTATGGATGTATGAAGCTATCCTATCTCCATTTTATCTTTTGTTTTCTGGTAGTTCTGTGTCTCCATTTTTTTTTTTATCCTTGTGTTCCTGTTATTCTATGATTTTGTCCTCTGTTTCCTCTCTTTTTACGTTATGTGTCTCAGTTCTGGATTTTTTAAAATACATTTTTTATTGATTTTGGAGAGGAAGGGAGAGGGAAAGAGAAACATCAATGATGAGAATCATTGATCGGCTGCTTCCTGTACACCCCCCTACTGGGGATCGAGTCCACAACCAGAGCATGTCCCCTTGACCAGAATCAAACCTGGGACCCTTCAGTCTGTGGGCTAATGCTCTATCCACTGAGCCAAACCAGCTAGAGCTCAGTTCTAGATTTTTAGTGAGTTCTTCAGATTAAAAATTTCTGATTGGTTCTTTTTTTTATAGTTTCAGGCTCTTTGGTGAGGGACTTTTTTTATCTGTTGATTTTATTTCTGTGCTCTTTGAATTACTCCTCTGAGTTTTCTTTTTTTTTAAAATAATTTTTATTTCTTAAATTATTACAAAGAGTATTACATATGTCTCCTTTTTTTCCCCCCCTTGACATTTCCCCGGCCCCTACCCCCCGCCCCCCCCCCCCCCCCCCGGGACTTGTGTCCATTGGTTAATCTTATATGCATGCATATAAGTCCTTCGGTTGATCTCTTAATCCCCCCCCAAACCCTCCCAAGGCTTCCAACTGTAGTTTGACAGTCTGTTCAATGTTGCTCTGCCTCTGTATCTACTCCTGTTCATCAGTCTATACTGGTCCCCTTTGTCTGTCCCAACCTCACTGGAGTAGTCTCAACCTCACCAGGGCCGTCTGAGCCTCACCAGGGCCGTTACAGCTTCACCAGGGTCGTCCTGACCTCACCGGGGCCGTTTCAACCTCACCGGGACCGTCCCGACCTCACAGGGGCTGTTTCAACCTCACCGGGGCCGTCCCTACCTCACGGGGGCCGTTGCAACCTCGCCGGGGCCGTCCCGACCTCACCGGGGCCGTCCCTACCTCACGGGGGCCGTCCCTACCTCACGGGGGCCGTTTCAACCTCACCGGGGCCGTCCCTACCACACCGGGGCCGTTTCAACCTCACCGGGGTCGTCCCTACCACACCGGGGCAGTTTCAACCTCACTGGGGCCGTCCCTACCTCACGGGGGCCGTTTCAACCTCACGGGGGTCCTCTGAGTTTTCTTGTATCTCGTTGAGATTTTTCAGAACTGCAATCTTGAATTCTCTGTCACTTAAATCATAGACTTCCAAGCCTTTAAGTTTATTTTCTGGAGATTTTTCATTTTCTTTCTGAACTTCTTTGTTACCTTGATTATTTGTTGTGATTGATAGATTATTTTTCTGCCTTGGAATTTATGGAAATGAAATCTTTTTTTTTTTTTAAGTATTTTACTCTTCACTGTTTAGCAGCAGGTTGATAAGTAGATGTCTTTCTTTTGTTTTCCAGAAGGTGGTGCTGAAGCACAAGTTTTAATTTTTTCTTACCTGTCTTTAGGGTTATCTATAGAGTAGTGTGGCCTTGGCTGTGAAAAAGCCCATATTTCTGAGGAGGTGGGCGATGCCCTTATGAAGTGGTTGCCCTGGTCTCCAGGCACCACCCCTGTGGTGGGATGTGATGGGTCTCTATAAGTCTCTTGGCCTTGTTTCCACTGCCTTCTCTCTGTAGCGAGAAGTTGCAGGCGGAGCCTATCTGAGTGGACAAGGCTACTACCAGGGCCTACAGGATTTGTGGGGGAGCATCTGGAGGGGGAAATAGGTTCAGGCATCTATGGCTTTTTTCTTTTTGATGGGTTTAGCTGCAATGAGTATAAGACCACTTAGACTGGAAAGTTTTTCCTGACCTTTGGTGATCTGCCGAGTGAGGATTTTACTGCTGGCAGGCCAGAGGAGGACCAGTGGGCAGGTTCCTGAATCTGGAATCCTCTGTCTGATGATGATGGGTTTGGAGTGCTGCCACCTGTTTCACTGTTTCTCTGCCCCGACCCTGGGCTCATCCTCATGTGTGCTGGCCTAGCCTCAATTGCTGTCTCTGCCTTTTCAGTGTGCCCTGTGGGAGCCCCTCCCACCATCACCCTTCACTGGTAGTGTGTCAGCTGGGGCCCTGCAAGTGCCTGATTGGGTCTGCAACTCTTATCTTTATCCTTCCCCATTCTGTCTCCCCTGTTCACTTGATACGCTCACCATGGTCAGATGTCTCAATGCATGGATCTTTCAGGTGTGTTTATGTGTTGAGCAGAGAAATGGTCATTTGTTGATTATAGCTGTCCATTCTGTTGTAACGTCATAGGACTCTATAAATTGTAATTCACTAGGGGATTTACCACTGTAAATCCTTTCTCAATGAGGTATTATATGCTTTTGTCTACATATTTTATTTATTTTCTTTTTTTGTATGTTTTTATTGATTTCAGAAAGGAAAGGGAAGGAAGAGAGAGATAGAAACATCAGTGATACGAGAAAAACATTTATCAGCTGCCTCCTGCACGCCCCCTACTGGAGAGCAAGCCCGCAACCCAGACATATGCCCTGAATCTAATTGTGACCTCCTAGTTCATGGGTTGATGCTCAACCACTGAGCCGCACCAGCTAGGCTGTCTACATATTTAAAATTTTTTATTCCATTTTTTAGTACTTAACAATTTGCGACTCCTTTTTAAAGTAGCATTTAATTGTTTGCAGTTAAAAATACATAAACTTGTGCAACCTGAAGATAATTCTTATGTAAAATGTGCTGTGGAAGAGGGAAGGGCCTTTTAAAAACTACTAAGTAAGAACAAAGAGGAAGCAAATTGCAAATAGACTGTTTACCAATCAGGTGGAATAAAATTCCTGCCTTAAAGTAGGACACAACAGTTGCTACAGTGACACGTGCTATAGCCAGACCATGGAAGGATCCTGTGAAGTGGCCTCTTGTCTCCAGGCCTGTGAGCTTCGGCCCTGATGGGACCGGGGCTTCAGAGTCACGGCCACCAAGGGTTCCTGCCCTTGGTTTTCCTTCACTGCTGTGTGTTGTACATAAAGGCTGTGACCGTTCCTGTGTGACAGTCCCAGATAATGGTTCCAAATACAAATTAATGTCCTAAATTAAGCTTTTTAGAAGGAATGGATGTGATGTGATGTGATGTTCTTTGTCTTGTAGCATGTTTTCATTTTAATCTGTACATGGCTTGTGTTTTGGTAACTGGCTTTATTGTAGTTGAAGCTTTTAAAACAAAGAGTGTATTTCACATAATTTAATCAACACTTGTTTACTCTCATCCTTTTGTATTTCTCCCAGTTTTAGCACAGACTGGCCACTCAGCTCTCCCAGTCCAATGGATGCACCATCGGTTAAAATACGCAGAATGGATCCTTTCTCTACAAAGGAACATATTGAAATCATAGCTCCTTCGCCACAAAGAAGCAGGTCTTTTTCAGTAGGGATTTCCTGTGGTCAGACAAGTTCATCTGAGAGCAACTTCTCTCCACTGGAATTTTCAGGACTAGGCCTTGGAGACACCAGTGCGTCAGTGGGTGCAGTGCACAACCTCCAGGACAGCTGCCTCACAGACTGTGATGTGGAAGATGGCACAATGGAAGGCAGTGAAGAGGGGCACTCCTTTGAACTTTGTCCCTCTGAAGCTTCTCCTTATGTAAAGTCCAGGGAAAGAACCTCCTCTTCCATAGTATTTGAAGATTCAGGCTGTGATAATGCATCCAGTAAAGAAGAGCCCAAAGCTAACCAACTACACATTGGCAACCATTATGCTAATAAACTAACTGCTGCCAAGCATTCCAGTAGCAAATCTTCGGAACCTAGTTTGTCTATTTCTCTTCCAAGACCAACCACTTTAAGTCTAGATCTCACTAAAAACACTGCAGAAAAGCTGCAGCCCAGTTCCCCAAAGGTGTATCTTTACATTCAGATGCAGCTGTGCAGAAAAGAGAATCTAAAGGACTGGATGAACAGCCGGTGCAGCATGGAGGAAAGAGGGTGGGACACGTGCCTGCACATCTTCCTGCAGATCGCAGAGGCGGTGGAGTTCCTGCACAGTAAGGGGCTCATGCACAGGGACCTCAAGGTTGGTACTATGGAACCTCACCCACGGATTTCAAGCTGACGTTTTATGCAGTACTTGCAGTATTTGTCACTTTTTAATGGAAGTACCCTAAGAGTGGAGGAGAGTGAAAGCATTGGGAACAGAGATCTGGAAACGTAAAAATAAGAAAGCTCATGATTTAAAAAACTCAGGCAGGCCCTATGGTTGAGCATCGACATATGAACCAGGAGGTCGTGGTTCGATTCCTGATCAGGGCACATACCCAGGTTGCAAGCTTGATCTCTTTTCTCTCTCTCCCTCTCCCTTCCTCTCTGAAATCAATAAAATTATATTTAAAAAATAAAAAAGATCTCAGGCAAATCATGAATTCTCCTTTATAATATGTTTATGTTTGTTTTACAGTAAAAAGCATTCCCAATCTTCTGAAGAAAAAATATCTTATGTAAAATTCAATACCATTTTCTATGGCTTTCAGTAACCCTGGCACAGATTCCCGTAGTGTCCTGAAGTAGCACACTGAAAGGGCTCAAGTGGAAGGAGAGACAGAGGTCCTTTCATTAGCCCACTCTGAATTAGGGCCAGTTGCCATTCTTTTTGCCCCTTTTCCTGAGCTGTTTAGGTTTTGGGGAAGGAGGTGAGAAGCTGGATGATAAAAGGTGGCGAATGGTTAGCCATATGATGTTTGCAGCTCTAACACCTTTGATTCTATTTCAGTAATGAATATTGTAGCCATGCAGTATGCTGCATTACCAAAGATTCCTACTAGAACATGCAGTGTGTCTTCAGTGTGTGCTTCTGAAATACCTCTATGGAACTTTTAGTAACTAATTTCTGCTATATTCCATATGCTCATAGTGATCATCATAGTAAACATAGATGTGTAGTGAATACATAAATATTTTTCTGATGGAAGTTGCTTAAATTCTTGAGATTTGGACTCATTTTAGGTATTTTCAGTTTTGTTTTATGTAACCACAAACTTGTTTCAGGCACCAAAGTAGCTATTTGGATGAGTAATTTTCTTTTTAAAGTCAGCAGTGGGTTTTTAAATCTTTGAATATATTTTTAAGAGTTTGGAATAATAGGAACTCAAATTAGAAATAATTCCTATTTTCTAAAGTAATTGTTGTTGAATTATACCTAATCAGCACACTCTGGATGTGGCCAGAACTAATTGCCAGGAATCATTCTGCATGAGTGAGAAGTTCAGAGATGGTTGGTTTTGGTCGGAAGGGAGAAGACAACTTCCATGAGGTTAGATGCCCCTAACTTGAGTGAGTGTTGGCTATTGGAATATGGGTACAGTTTTATCATTTGGTAGGAACTGGTTATCTAATGTGCACATTCTTCTTGTACTGAACACTTACTGTACAACCAAAATGTTACGTTGAAAGCCATGTAATTATGTACTTACTAATTTTGAATATTCTGCTGATTTTAGTGTTTATGAGATACTAGAGGCCCGGTGCACGAAATTTGTGCACTTGGTCGTGGGGAGCCCTCAGCCCGGCCTGCGCCCTCTTGCAGTCCGGGAGCCCTCAAGGGATGTCCGACTGATGGCTTAGGCCTGCTCGTGGGCCCAAGCTGGCAGTTGGACATCCTTAGTGCTGCGGAGGCGAGAGAGGCTCCCGCCACTGTCGCTGCACTTGCCAGCCATGAACCCGGTTTCTGGCTGAGCAGCGCTCCCCTTGTGGGAGTGCACTGACTACCAGCGGGCAGCTCCTGTGTTGAGCGTCTGCGCCCTGGTGGTCAGTGCGCATCATAGTGAGCAGTTGTTCTGCCGTTCGGTCGATTTGCATATTAGCCTTTTATTATATAGGATTGGTGAATATTTGTTTAATGCTACAATGTTGTCTAAAGGTTTTTCTTGTATTTCTTTGTGCACTAAAAAAATTTCAAGAAAATTAATTTTCTCAGGTTTTTCTAGATATCAAAAAAAGTATTCTTTTGTAAAGATGAATTTCTCTTAAATATTTCTAGTGAACCAGAAAGAAATTCTCCCAATAATTTTATTCTTAGTCAAAAAGCTCTGTGTCCTGTCCATTCTGACGTAAGTCTTTGAGCTCACTGTGAAACCTCCTAAGCCCTCTCCCCTTTTTATATTTTGGTCACATTTTTGTCATCAGCGCTCTCTGGCCCCTGATTCTTCCAACTGACTTCTAATCTTCTCTTTACTCAAGTTGCACTGGGTTTTTCTCAGTTGCTTAAATACACAGTGTTCTCACAGAACCTAGTGTTTCTCCTTTATAATCCTCATCACAGTTGTATTATTTATCCCCTGGTTTCCACAGGGGCAGAAGCCATGTCTTTTTCACCTATTAATTCCTTAGCACAATGCCTGATGCATTCTATATGCTCATATAACTTTTTTTATTATTCTCTTGTTTGCAATCAAAAGCACTTATAACAATTTAATCAGAAATGAAATGTATTGGCTCATGTAACTGAACTGTCCAAGATTCAAGTAAAGTTTCAGTGATGTGGCCAGAATACGGTCTTCCCTCTCCTTGCCCTGTTTCTTGTTTCCACTTTCAGGCAGGCTTTCCCTTCACACTCTCAGGACAGCTGCCACTATTAGCAGGACTACACATTTTAAGTCTTTTGGATGATGAGATAGGGCGTGGGAGGAAAGTATCCCTCTTCCCTACCATTGACCAGAAGTCCTGAGTTTCCTCCTAACTGAAAAGTCAAGGACATATACCCATTCCTAAACCAGTATCCCGGTCAGGGGATAGGATTATGCTGATGGTTTATGCATCCTAGGGATGTGCAGCCATAGGTTGCTGCACAGTTGGGAAGGGTTCCTGAAGTCGAGTCAGGATGCTTCTGGTGAAGTGCAGGAGGATAGATGCTGGAGAGCCTAAAAATTAAAAAAAAAGGAAGTCTGTTATGGTGTTCAGTAATAACACCAGATGATGGGAGGATAGGAGCAGTAAAATTTAAGGCAGCTCTCTCACAAGGTTATTTGTGGGCGAGCAGGAGGTTATTACCATAGATTTTGTTATGTGCAATAACGTCATTGCTTCAAAGTCACAACTGTCTAATAGCATTTTAGAGTTTGGGAATAAAGTGTTACTTGTCTGGCAGGATTTGAAGCCTGAGGAAATAAAATTTCCTGAGCTAAGTGGCTATCTTTCCCTCATTTTAAGGCTCTAAATGGTGATCCTGTTAGCAGGGGTGAGAGTAGGCTCTGAAGGAAGATGATAGAGTTCATGTAGCGGACTTGAGTTTAAGGACCATGAGAAACTTGGTTAGCTCTCTCTCTTCAACAGTAGCATGTGAGAGTTTATAACTCAGACCAGCAGCCTTGGAATACATGAGAGCATGTGGATATTAGAAGAGGCAGCATTGGTTGCAATTAAGAGCTCTTATTCTCTGTGATAGCCTGCTTTTTCCCTCTTGGACATAAACCCAAAATCAGTCTGTTTTATTCATTTATCAAACAGTAGGGATTAGCTACCATAAGGCACATGCTATGCTAAATGCTGGACCTGTGGTATTGAAGCAGACATCCTCTTCTCATGGAACCAGACTGCCTGAGTTTGAATCCCTGCTCCACCACTTACTACCTGGATAACATTGGGCAGTTTACCTAACTTCTCTGGGCCTCAGTTTGCACATCTATAAAATGAAAGACTAATAGAACTAATAGGGCTGTGAGTATTGCATGAGTTAATAGTAGTAACCAGCTTAGACTGGCTCCTGACATATTTTAAGTGCTATATATGCATTTGATAGTATTGTTACTATTATTATAGTCATCACTTCAGTTGTAAATGTAGAGAAGCTTGCCAGGGGGAGAATATATAGAATAATAAGACTGAGCATTAAATACCTTGGGCCCTAGGTAATGTGAGTCTCCAAGTGTTTAAGTAGATGCTGTTTGCTCATTCATGTGCTAAATGGCTAAATGTAAATGCTGATCCCTGTGCTAGCTTTTCTTTACTCACAGCACTTGTCCAGTATGGAATGATCAGTGGTATTTTCATATCAATTCATTTTAAAGGGAAACATACCTGAGAATATCTAGTTTCTTGTATTTATTTTCTGTTGTCATTTTAATAAATTCCCTTCACTTTCCTTTTCTGTATACATCCATTGTGCTTTTATCTGTTTTATTTTTTTCCAGCCTTCCAACATATTCTTTACAATGGACGACGTGGTCAAGGTTGGAGACTTTGGATTAGTGACAGCAATGGACCAGGACGAGGAAGAGCCGATGGTTCTGACCCCAATGCCAGCGTATGCCCGGCACACGGGACAAGTGGGGACCAAACTGTATATGAGCCCAGAACAGGTGAGTGTTTTTGTTTTTCTTCTTAATTAAAAACATATTTTTAGTTAGTATGACAGCAAGCTAGATATGTCCCATGAATCTCCATCTATGTTCTACTTAAAATACCCAATAAAATGAAATCTGAAAAGTTTGAAAACTGGTAGTAGAGTTCCACACGCAGTACAGCTAGGGGACAGTTTCTGCAACTTGCATTGGGGATGGATTAAAAACAAACACAATGCGTAAAACATGCTCACCCTTTAAACCATAACCTAACAGCAACCAGAAATTTATAGAGACTTTGAACCCCTCCCATACTTAACTCCAGTTCACCTTGTGTAAATGGTGTAGGAACTGTTTTCAAATAAATTAGAGCCAGAGGTACTGTACTGAGCTGTCCTCTATAGTAATTCACAGGCAACTGCCAGAATGTACTGTGGCAGGAGATAAAGGCTGGGATATCTTGTCCGTGGATGCTGAGTCTCCCACAGAACAGGACAGGACAGAGCCTGGAAGAGTGGTGGGAGCAGACTGTCCTGAGGGGCTTCAGAATAGCATGCCCAGTCACCACCAGGATAATGATATTCACAAGCTTATTTATGCTTAAATCAGCCATTCTCAAATTTTGTGGTCTCAGTGTTGTGGGTGGGAAACAGGGATTTCGAGAAAAGCATTTTAAGGACCCATGCAGGGGAGATTGTGGTGTGGCAGGATGGAAAATCAAAAGAGTTCCCCTCCTGGCTTCCCCATGTCCCACCTGCCTCCATCCTACCATGGTAAAAGTCCCACCATGTCTTCAGCAGGACCAAAACAAAAGCCAGTGCCCAGAGTTTCTGCTTCATAGTCCTTTGGAGCCCAAGCAGTCTGCAGCAGGCCCCAGGTGGCCACTAGAAACGCATAGTTGTGTGCTCTCTGAGGGAAGAGATGCAAACAAATGGGGTGAATGTGGGTCACAGAGAGCACAGAGAGAGAGAGAGCGCGAGCGAGAGCGAGAACAGGATTGTGCGCTTTGTTCTCTTGGGATTTTAACCAGGAACTTTTTCAACTTTCTAAGATTTCCAGGCTTCTGATGGGTCCAGTGATCCCTTTCCCAGGTTAGATTGACAGGCGTCTAGGAACAAGCATCTCCCCCTGCACCTTTTTGACTTCATTGCATATGTGCTTATCTCCCCCTGTTCCCCCTCCATATACAATCCAGTACCGGAGGAGAGAAGGGAGGGATGTTAATCTCCTTGGAAGGACAATGCTACAGTTCCTTGGGGTGTGAAGCTGTAGCTTCCTATTGAAGCAAACAGGCTCATGCTTCCCAGTTGACCATGCTTACCAATGTCTGACTTCGCTTGTTCTCTTCCTATTAATAACTAGCTAATGATGGTAGCATCAGTACCTGTTTATACATGTAAATATGATTGAAAACCCGAGTTTTTCTTAATGCCGTATTTTATTTATCAGTATTTGCCGTATTCGAGATTAAAACTGAAAAATGTATAAAATTTATTAATTTAAGAATATTAAACCTATCTTATCCCAAAAATATTTTTATGATATTTCCCAAAACAAAAAAGCATTGTTGAGAAGAGTGGCATTTGTTTACATTTTAACAGATCTCTTTAATATCTGACTTAAAAGAGCTAGATTCTCCTATCTGCCTTGCATTCAGTTTGTTGCAATATGTTATTTTGTGTGAAGTGAAGGAAGAAAATCTGACCTCATACAGATATGTAGTTGGAAAGGGAGGGATGTTTTAATAGCATTTTCAGGGAATTGTGGTTATTCCTGTTAGATAGTACATCAGAATTCAATAAGTGATAGTTTCTTAAAAGTCATTTGCCCTATGGGAATCTAAATACTATATTATTGAAACTTTTTTACTCTGTCAATTTAATATCCTTTCGTTCATTTTGCACTTTTTAAAAAATCCTCAACTGAGGGATTTAGAGAAAAAGTGAAAGGGAGGGAGGGACGTCAGGGAGAGGGAGGAAGGAGGGAAGGATTGAGG